ATGTGAGAGGTGCCCTGTTCTTTTTTCTGCTGCCCTGCACACTCTTGCTTCTTAACGTTTGTATGGCAGTACTTGATCAAGATRTTCCCCTTTTGTCCTTTTACCTTGTGCACAGAGTTTATTGCAGCCTGGTTAAAACCAGCCCCTTGTCCTTTGCCCTACTGCTTTTGTCACTCTCTTTAACTGTATCTGTATGTGTGTGCATCTTTGTCTGTAATTCGAGCAACATATTCCACAAATCACTGAGTGTATTTTAATTAAACCTTCACAATATATATTTGGCTGTACCTCTGTAACTGATTAACTTTAGGATTCAAGCCAATTTCATATCCACACCTAATTGACCTTAGCTACCACATAAAATAGCTTTAACTCATTGAATTTAACAGATACATAACTAATCTTTGGTGTGGCAGTAGCTGAGTCATTTACAGCCCGTACTCCAGGTGTAAACAGATCATGTGAGATCATATGAGATGTTACAATATTGCACAAGATTGCACATTATGTAAGTTTTAAGACTGAACAAAAATGGCTATAACTTTGTCATTTCTCAACATAAGATGGATTTAGTCTAAGTTTTTGTCATGAAATTGTGTGCAGCATGCGTCAAACTCAAGGTTCATGGGCCACATTTGGCCTGTGACTTCTCTGCCCGACCCACCAATGAGGTTCTGATTCAACCCCACAAATTAAACTAATTTAAGTGGTGAATGATAATAATATTTATCCAGCCCCTGAACTGTTGGCTTTGAGTTACTGTGCCCACCTGAGCAATTTAGTTGAATAGCACTGTATGAATGTCTCAAAATATTGACCATAAACTACGTCTCCCATAATGTGCATCAATTATTTTCACCATAGAATGACAGAATCCTACCACTAGGTGGAGGTGCACAGATTTTAAAAGTAGCCAACAGCTGGCGAAATTCACCTTGTAAAATCGATTTAGCTGCAATTTCGCCAGCAATTTTTGCTGGGAAATGGGTATTTCCCACTTACGTCATACATTTAAACTGAAATGTCTTTGCAGTGGGAACTCCCTGTCGGAAAGCGGGAGCAGCTGGTGGGAACCAAGTCCAGAATTCAAGATGGTAACTACTCACTACAACTCAACAGTGAATAAAACACTTACTGTTACTTTTTAATACCGTACTTCTGTGTTGTTTAGTCAGTTGCACTTTTCAATGTTTATACACAAGAGGACATAATAAAAYCGTTTCTATGCGCAAAATTTAGAGCTCAGTTATTGTTTGTTAGCRGTGTTTAGCATAGCAATGAAACAAGGAACGTGATGTTTCCTGTTTGAAAAGTCAAATTTAGTTACAACTGACTCTTTGAGGGCCACCATAATGCTCATGTGGCCCTCAATGAAAATAAGTTTGACACCCATTTAACTGTAGATAATGATTCACTGATATCTCCACATCAGTGGGACTTAAATGTAAATAGGGCTCTGCAGGCTGACGTGCCAGTTGTGTCAACCCCGTATTGTGCTTCTGTCCGCTCAACTATTGGGGCAGAAAAACAGGAAGCTGTTCTTCCTGTTCACTGAAGGCAGTGGGGCAGGAGGACATCATGTCAAAACAGTATTGTCACTGTGTGTAAAGGCTTCATAGTCAACATTATTCCAAGTCCTTACTGGAACAAACCTGTTCACTGTGGCGTCGCTGTCTCCCTGTTGCCTCCATAAGTGTGCCAAGTTGCATGAAATAGCCACTATCAGCACAAATGACACTTTTGTGGGAGCTGCTGAACTCATGACAGATACATGATCACGTTTTTTTCTCTCTCTCCCGAATGCATCGCTTCATTGTTTTAACCTAATCATTGTGTTTCTGTTGGAGCCAATGTGACTTTTGTTTGACAGTCATTTCGAGGCCACATGCACGTCCACTATCAGTGGAACTGATCTTCAACATGCGTGCACAGTCGTAACCTCTTGTTCGTCCAGGGGGGACAAGCTCACACAAAAACAAACTCCACTGCACCCTGAAATGCAACACTGAAATCTCCACCCTTTCCTATGTAATGTGTTGCTATTTAATACACCCACATTGCATCTCTCTCTCTCTCTCTCTCTCTCTCTCTCTCTCTCTCTCTCTCTCTCTCTCTC